CAACCCACCCTGCTCCTGGGGAAACCGCGAAGGCACTCGGTAAGCGAAACGCAGAGCAAAGAAAGCGTCTCCTGGAACTGTGTGGGCTTCAAAACCAGACAGGCTCACAACAGCACCTCTCTGAGCCTCGTTGTCCTTGTCTCTACCATAAGGACAGCCATGCAAAATGGTTGGGAGACATCGGCCAGAGATGTGAGAAGGGCTAGCTGCCAACAGAGAAGGCCTCTCAGGAGAGCAGCCCACAGCGTATGCTCAGCCTCAGAGGGAACACCACGGGCCTGTGCTCACCTGCCCCCCACCCCCTTCAGCCAGGCCCAGATGCTGCAGGATGTACACTGCTGCCTACTTAACAAGCATAGCTGCCCAAGGATGCTACCCTCCCCCCACTGTGGCTCAGAGCTGGTCCTGAAGGGATGGTTCCCAAGCTGGCTGCCCACCAGAATCACCTGGGCTGGTGTGACACAGGCCAACCCCACACGCCCAGTCTCTAGGGGCAAGACTTGGCAATCTTTACCCTTCCCAGCTTCACCAGCTGATTCAGAGGCATGGCAAGACCTGGGTCGACTGGGAGCAGATCCTCCTGTAAGGCCCTCGCCCTCTCACCCGGGACCAACACACCCTCTGACTCAGGGGCTCCCTGCCCCCTACTCTCCCCAGCCTCAACTCTGAGGCCAATCAGTAGTGCTTCTGAAACAGGTCTTCGAGCAACCCTCACTGCTCCAGGAAAAGTCCCAGGTGCCTTCACTTGGCCACCCTGATGGCCTTGCTTCTCACCAAACCTGCAGGCCAACATCACAGACTCACTCAGGGCTTCCTAAGAGGTGCCAGCTCAGGCCTCAGGAACACCAGGCATGCTGTCCCTGTCCCTGACCCTGACCCAAGCTGGCCTTTCCTTCCTCCTTCCTCAGCAAACGCTGATCCTGCTTCCAGGCTTCCATGTGACCTTCTTCTGGGAAGTCTTCTCAGGGTCACTCCTGTGCACCCCTACCTCTCCCACCTGCCCAGGGCCTGCCATTTCCACATCACTGTTTGATCAAACTGCCTTATCACTGCTGAGATCTGACTATCCTTCTAGATTGTGGGCTCTTCAAGGTCAGGGACCATGCCTACCTTGTCTCCTTGTCCTACGGGGACACAAGTCATTGCATAGAAAATATGCATGATTGAATGAATGCCCAGCTCTCAACTAAGCTCAGTGCCTTCATCTCCAGGTTTCTAAAGCGAGGGTTGTCTTGGAGCAGTAGCTGGCAAAGCTGCCTGGGAGGTATCTCAGGGCTGCTGAGAAGGAGGTAACCGCCCCCGCCCCCCATTCCTCTCTGAGGTTCAACCCAGAGCTGTCCCACCCGCTTTCATCTGTTCTAGAAAAGATTAAACAAAAGGCTCTAGTGCTTCTTTACAACACACACACACACACACACTTCCTGTCACTAAGCATCGCTGGATGGTTGGTTCTAATGCCTGGGACAAACAGACACTGGGTCAGAGAAGCCCGGGCTAGATAGCTGAAGTCACCTGCTTGGCCTGCTGAGACCCTGGAGCCAGGGAGGGGACACAGGCAGGGTGGTGTATGATAGAAGCCCTCCCTGGAACCTCAAAGCTCTAATAAACAAAATGATTGTCACACATCTGGAGAAAAGCAACTGTGAGTGCGGGGGACTATCGGGAGGCCCTTAGGTATGGTAGTGCATGCACAGAGCCCACCACAACTGCTGAGGGTGACTACCTAGGGGGACAGGGCCTGAATGTGTTAGGCAGAGAGAGTCCACCCACAAAGTGGCTTGGCATCTACCCAGTGATGAGGAACACTGCCAGAAACCCATGCTCGGCAGGGAGCCCTAAGCCCACCAGGCCCACCCTAGTTCCATTTACCTTCTCACCCCGGTTGGAGAGTGGCCCATCCATATCGGCTTTGAGGTGGACGGGGGGCGCAGTGTAAGGCAGCCGGCAGTGCACCTGCCCACATTGTACCTGACCTGTGGAAAAGAGGAGGCCTTGGAGCCCATCCCCAAGGCTCCAACCTCCCTAGAGGATCCCACCTGCCCCACATTCAGCAGCCTGGAGTTCTAGGGCCAGTTTTACCTCTGTCACTTACCAGTGGGTTGTCCCTAGACAAGATTTCAACACGTTGGTTAAGATGTTGCATAGGAATGTCCTGATAACCTATCAAGTGCTACATGATGGCTAGGTACAACGATATAGCTCATTGATAAGCAAATGCTCACAAATGTATTGAAAATCTTCAGGAAAGGCATCATCCCACCTAATAAGATCCTCCCTCTGAGTCTTGTACCTTCTGATCCCCCAAGTCCCCCAAAGGCTTACCCTTTAACCTCTAGAGGACTCTGCCCATAAGTCACCTTCTCCCTGACCACCTTCATTACAATGACACCCCAACACCGAACCCCTCCTCACCTCCTTCCCTTTCCCCCCCCCCTTCCTTAGAACTCACCATCATCTGTAAAATAAGAAAACTGTCTGTCTATATGGTTTATCTGATATTACCTACCTTTATCAGCCTGAATGAGCAGGGGTTTTTGCCTGTTTTCTAGCACATCTTGCTGGATTCCAGGCATTTAGAATGAGGTCTGGCATCTAGTAGATACTCTTTTAAATATTGGTTGAATTAATTTTGATCCCAATTTTAACATCTAAAACTGTTGGGGAATGTCCATCTTTGTGTCTGATCCAAATCTCTCATACTTCAGCCCATTTACCACTTTGGCAGAAAAGGGCACTGCCCGTTTCTCCCCCTGACTTCAACCTCTTTGGTCACATGGGAAAGAGCCCCAGCCAGAGACTTACAACCATTAGATGACTTAGAACAAGTCACTGCCCCTTTCTGAGCCATAGTTCCCCCAACTGTAGACTAAACCAGTTGGATTTAACTGGGGATTCTTAACCTGGAATGTTCTAAAAATCTATGATAGTATGAAATTCCACAGAAAACTGTGTGTGTGTTTCTGGAATCTGGTTCCAAAGATTTTTTTTTATCATATCCTAAACCTGGGATCCTGGATTTCTTTTCATTGCAAAGCAAGAGTTCACATTTCTAGCTGATTCTAGCACTTTTATCAGCTTCCCACCTGATGGACTTCAGAAAATCCCAGACCCCAGGACTTTAGTGAATAACAAGCAAAACGCTGAGCTGGCTTTCAGTCACACAGCAAGCAACAGCTGGTTGAGACTCTGGACACCTCCTGCCCCAAGCTGAGCTGGCTTCAAGAGAAGAGAAACTAGTATCTTCAGCCCCGCCCTCCTTTGGGCAATAAAGACAGGTGTAGACCTGGCCAGGAACACTGGAGAACCATGGCCCCGCTCCCAAGGTGTTCACCTAGATCCATTATCGACTCTCCATATGAGTGTTAGCTGGTTGTCCAGACCCCTGGCACCTTGAGAGCCCCAGAATGCTGGTGCTGTTAAAGAGGACCTAGGTGTTTAACACAGGCTCTATGCAGCCTGAACATAAGTCAAAGCTCAGAAAAGAAAGATGGGGGAACAGTCCCTCTTTACCGAGCAGATGACTGCAAAGTGGAACCATATAGAGTCATGATTTCAACTGGCAGCCCAAGGCAGTAGGCAAGACACTAAACAGGCACTCTGGACTCTTCAGCCAACCAAAACCACCACCAAAATTACAACAGTGAGCCCCACTCCAACCCCTGTGAAGTGTTGAAGGCTTTCAATCGATTATCTCATTTGACTCACACATCATCACTTTGAGAGAAGGACTCTCGTTATCTTCATTTTTACAGATGAGAAAACTGATACTCAGGGTTAAACAGTCAGTAAGTGATAAGGGGGTGGAATATGAGGGTTGGAAGTCTGACCCCAAAGCCCACACTCAAACATTAAGGAACACTGGCTCCCACTACCTTACCGTGAGCCCTTCATTCCCTCCTCTACACAATGCAAATAACCATATGTGATGTTCAGAGACTGGGACAATCTGGGCAGTACAGAGCCAAACACACGGTGAAGACGACTTGAGAAACAACCAATTCTCTCTGTAACCCCTTCTCTCGTTCCCCTTTTCCTGTAGTCAGAGAAGGGAGTAGCTGTGTTTGTGGCTGGACACTTGTACGCTTCTATTTATTTTTTGGGTCGTGCTGCACTTCAAAGAAACCATCAATGGAAACAACCTCCAAGAGAGAGAAAGTTGAACCTGCTACGCACGCACGTTATTGCTCAGTAGCCGATTACACCTGATTCCCCATGTTCCCTGCAGCACTCGCTCGAGCTGACACGCCTGTCCTCTCCCCGTTTTGTTCACACCCACTCTGAGGTCCCTTAGGGCAGAAGAGTTGGGCTGTTGTGTTAACTGCTGCATCCCAGTGTTCAGAACCCAAAGCGCACTCGCTCAAAGACCTATGGATTCTCACGACTCTGTAAGGTAGCTGAGTATTTTTATCCCAGTTTACAAACTAGGAAACTGTGGCTCAAAGAGGTGAGTTTGGCTTGTCCACAGTTAGCTTGGGTGTTCCTGTCACCCTAGTCTTCCTTCACGCCACCAAACGGTCCCATGCCGTTATCCTTTCTGGGACAGAGCCTGCCCAGACGGGTGCCACTGCCTCAATACTCTTCTTCTCTATCTGCTTGTGCCTCCAGAACTCCCACCTGTCCTTCCTGCCTCAGCCCCAGATCCTGTTCTTTAGACCTTCCCAACCAGCCTGTCCTGCAAGAATCAACGTAATGAAAACCGCCCCCTTCTGTTGTTACAGCTCCTGTCTACCACTCCCACAGCACAGGCAGGCTAGTCCCCGCACGTAGGGCAGATGCTTGCAAAGTAACTGCTTTTGTTCAGTGGGTGATGGCTTACTAGTACTAAGGGTTCGAACTCACGGAGACCAACCTTGGTCACCCCACCCCGCACACCGCTGTGCGCCCAGCTCGGTAGGCCTGCACTCCCCATGCGCTCCCGCTCCTCGGCGGCGGCGGCGGCGTCGCGGTGACTTACTCTCAATGTAGCCGTGCAGGGTGACCATGCGCGCCCGCTCGGGGCTGCTGAACGGGGAGTAGTGGATGTCGTCAGACAGGGCGGAGGGGAGGCGGGACGACGGCGCCCCCGAGGACGGCACGGGGTGCTGCGGCGTGTGTTTTTTATGACGCGCCCGGCAATTTTGAAACCACACCTGCAACGAGATCCTCGGCTCCGTCAGCCTCGCGGAGCTGGTGAGCCGCGCCTTGTCACCCGCCAAGCTGGCTCTGCCACGTGCGTCCGGGATCCGCAGCTCCCAGCCCGGGTACGTGCTCGACGCCCCGCCCCGCCCCCCGGCCTCGACGCCCCGCCCCTCTCCGAGGCCCCGGCCCCCGAGGCCCCACCTGGATGACCCTACGGCTGAGGCCGGTCATGTCCGCCAGCTTCTGCAGCGTCTGCGCGTCGGGGTTGTTGTCCTGCGCGAACTGTGCCTGCATAACCTGCCGACCGCCAGGGTAGGGGTAGGGGCGTAAGGCTCAGGCGCGGAGGGTCTCTGAGGCCCCGGCCCAATCACAGGCTCCGGCTCGGCGGCCCCGCCCCGGCCAGATACCGTCCCCCTCCTCCCTGCGAGAGTCTTGGCTGAGGGGCGGCGCCAACCCCGCCCCGCCCACTAGAGGCCCCACCCACACCCCCATCCGCGCGGCCTGCCCTGGTACCTGCAACTGTTCCGCTGTGAAGGATGTCCGAGCTCGCTTGGCCGGCTTGGGCTGACTGTCCTGTTCTGAGGGCACCGCCCCCTCCAGCGTGAGGCCGTTCCCTGGGGGAGACAGAAGCGGCTGACCAGGCGACCCCATCTCTTCTAGTAGCAGCCTGGAAAGGATGGGGGTCGTGGGGAGCTGGTCCCTAGAAGGGTCAGGAGTTGACTGGGAGGGGGTGATCCCAGGTTCCTCTGAGTCACTGATCTCAGTGCTGGGGGGAAAAGAGCTTCCATTCATTGCTGAGCATCCACTTCGCACCGAATGCTTCTCCTTAAGGCCTTTGCATCTCCCAGTCCTGGGAAAGGGGCCGTTATTCTTCTTGGGTTTGACGCGACCGAAATAACAGCGGCTCCGAGAAGAAAACCAAATACACTGCCCCTCAACCACTGGACCAGGATTCTGAAAACTGCCTGACACCCCCGCCCCAAACTAGCCTTCACTTCTAAACTGTGGAAATCCACATCGAATGGAGTTGCAGAACTGTGATTCCATTTTTGTAAAAACAGGTACAAGAACAAAGATGGAAACCATACACCAAGGTGACAGCTGTAGTTACTTCTGGGGACACAATTAGGGAGGAAATCGCTACTGTCTGCATTTCTGACGTGGTTAAAGTTTGTATAAAGATCAAATGCCATCTTATTTCTCTAAGTCTTGATTTTTTTTAACCAGAGTATGTATTCAATACTCTTCCCATGTATATTATTTTCACAATTGTATTAAACCACTGAATGTCTTCTCATTCATTTTTTAATGCTTCATTTTTTGGAATACAAAAGTAATAGATGCTTCTTATTAAAAACTCAGAAAATACAGATAAGCACAAAGAAGATAATAAAAATTACCAGTAGCTCCATCAGCCAGAGATAATCACTGCTTATAATTTATTATTAATTAAGAAAAAGATTATGTTGGATGAAAACAAAAGAAACAGTCCTTGATGAAACAGTTGGATAAAATCCAAAGAAACGGAAATATGTGTAAAATATACATACATAGAGAAAAAAATCCTGGAAAGACATATTAAAATATGAGGGGAGGCGGCATTCAGGGTGATCTTTATTTTCTTCTTTTCTGCTTAACCATTGTTTCTAGTTTTTCTACAATAAGCTTTTTCTTTAGTCTAAAAATTAAAAGAGTGAGGGCTGGTCTGAAGTGTGAAGCTCCAGCCTCCCAGGCCCTCTGCATGGCAGGAGTCTAGAGCCAGGCCTGACTGTGTGAGCTAGTGCTCAGCTGTGACTAGTGGTGGTAAGAGTTGGTCCACCACATATGGGAAGAATCTGGGGTCACTTTAGGGGCTAGGTGAGGGGTTAGCTCAAGTTCTGACCCCTGGGTTTCCAGCTCAGAGCCACTGCTGACTTGGCTGCCACTGCAGATAATGTTATCACACACCTAGTTTCACTGGCTCCCCACTTAGCCTCACCTAACCCTAATTCTGGCAGGAAAAAGCAATTGGCCTGTAGTGGCCACAGGTAAAAGTACTTTGTGGGACTCCAGCTGGTCCCTAGCCCAGGCCTGGAAACTGAAGCAGGTGGTCCTCATCCTCCCCCCAGCAGAGGCAGAGCTGCAGATGAGATAGACATTTTGTGATGATAATGTTTTATGGGGAGCAGGCAGGGCAAGGATTGGTGAGCCAAGGGTTGAAGCTGAGAAAATGAAACTCACAGAGGCAACCACATCTCCGCAGCCTCCCTGACTGAGGAGCTCTGATTGAGGGGTGCTGGAGGTTGAAGGTGGGTGGTATAATACTATGGAGAGGAGTCTGGGCTTTGGAGTCAGCAGATCTACCAGTAGACCTTTGGCAAGTTACATGGTGCAGATAACTTATGCCTGTTTCATCACCCGCAGAATGCGGCTACTCTCCCTACTGTCTAGGGGTATATAGCATAGCCCATGCTACAGAGAAGTCAGCACCTTCCCCAGACCTGGACACAATCCTGGCCTTTCCCCACAACTCAGCCTCCACTTCCCTTCTCCAGCCCCCATGCCACCTGTGACTCCGTCCTCCCACCACCCCCAAAGATCTGGATGCCCTGGGTGTCTTGAGGAATCACACTATCAGGGCCAGAAATGATTCAGTAATCATTCTAAGCCAACACAGAGCAAAGGAAAGACTGAGGTCCAGAAAGGCAAGACCCTGTCAGCACAGCCAGCCACAAGCAAAACAGTTGCCCTGACTCAGAGGCCTGGCCTCCCCCCCGCCACCCCCACCCGGACGTGCCCCACATCCTGATTGTCTGTCAGCGAGGACCAAAGATTGCACCCCACCACCTCCAGCTCCACCACCACCCCCACCCCGGACAGTTTGGGACTCTGGTCCTAGAGGAAAGTCCCAGCCCCGGGCTGGCCCCAGTGTCCTGGAGTGCTAAAGGGGAGAACAGGGTCAGCACCCCTTTTCAGGATGGGCTAAGCCTGGTTCCTGAATGAGACAGAGTGGCCACCAGTGGAGCAAGCTGCAACATTCAAAGAATCATCTCTAGCACCCACCCCCAGTGTCTCCTGGCTTTACTTACTACAGCTCTCTGAGAGAGTGTCTGATCTATAGCTCCATTTCAGAAATGAAGCAACCTTTGCAGAGGACAGTGGCATGCCCAGGGTCAGGATATGGGAGCAAACAATGGAGCCAGAAACACGTGCTTCTTGCTTAGCGGAGCACTACACCCCACCTCCCTCCTAGAGTAGGAACGGGTTGGGGGCAGAGGCGCTGCCCGCTGCTGCGCAGCACGGGTAGGTTACCGTTCTCCGCAGCCCTCTTGAGGTTCTCGATCATGGTATCGTAGTGGATGCGGCACAGCACCTTCTCCTCCACCAGGCCGAACTCCTCGCCCGTGGACAGCTGGCGCTTGCAGGAGAAGCAGGCGAAACAGGCCAGGTGATAGGCGTTGCCGCGCGCCCTCCGCACCCAGTCGCTGGCGTAGATCTGTCGGCCGCACCTCGCGCACTTGGTCCCAAATCGGCTGAAGGACACGGGGTCAAGGAGGGGTAGGGTGAGGCTCCCAGGCTTTTAGCCACAGTGAGCTCGCATTTCCTTTTGCTGCCACCAAACAGCCCCTCGACAGCCAAATCCCACCTGGATGGTGAACTGGTGGCTGACTTTTATTCTGGGTACTTTCCTGAGTTTTCCAGCTGTTCTACACTAAGCACTTATATTTGTATAAGCTTATATATTAAGGCACATTGCAACGATTGGGACAATATAACAATGGTGACAATCAACACATCTTCTGTCACGTGTCCTGCAAGATTATAAGTGTTTCGCAAGGATTATCTCCAACATTTCCCATCTTGCAGATACACAAGATGGGGGACAGAGAAGTACAGTCATTTGTCTAAAGTCACACAGCTGGAAATGACAGGACGCTGAGTTCTCCAGAAGCTCAGAGTTGCTCGAAAGAACAGACAGATATTAGATTACTGGCTAAGTGACTCTGGGCGAGCTGTTTGATCCCTCTCTGTGCTCCTTCTCCTGGCTCAGAGCTGAGCTAGATGACAGTGGCAATGACTGCTATTATTTGTCTAGTGCTTTGCTGTCCATTAAGTACCCGGCTACTCCAAACACGTGCTGGAATTGCCTCCCCAGGAACCAGACTCCAGAGCATTCTAACACTGAATGTTAAAAAGACAACACAAATCCTCCACAGACCCCCCAAAACTCAGCTCAAATGTCCCTTCCTTCCCTGCTCTGCCACCCGGCCTCCCTTTCCCTCTCTCTACTGGGTAGAGTGACTCTGTGGTTGGAGTTACCTCCACTACCAGCCTGGACCACCTGCGGGGAAACAGAACCATTCCCTTCCCCCTTGTCCTAGATGGCAGCCAGACCTGACCCTGTTACAACCCTTCTTTTCTTCTGACTTACCAGCACGTTCAGGAAATGAAACCATCCCTCATGCAATGCCTCCAGCTTGGCATCCGAACCTCACACCACCCACTCGGCAGGCACCCTTGGGTCTGTTTCTTCACCATCTACGGATCCATCCACTCACAGCCACCCTCCTGGACCCACCTTCCACCATCCACTGCTTCACTGCCAGTCTCTGCCACATCCCCCTGGGCTCAGTCTAGCCACCCACCCCCACCCTCCCCACAGAAGTTTCCAGGGTGCACATGGAATCCTATCCCTCCTTTGGTGGCTCCACTTTGCCTTCAGGATTCTTGGGCTGACTCAGCCCAGTAGACCTTTCAAGTCTATCTTCACCCACTAGTCTTCCTCCAGTCTCCTTACCCTTCTTCCAAGCTGAGGCCCTCTCCATTGAAAGGGTAGTTGAAAGGGTCCCTCTCAAGCACCTTTCCAGCCCTAATGCCTGGCATACCAGCTGGTCCCCTCTCTCAATATGCCCCTCAGCCAAGTCCTACAACACTGGTCTCAAAACGCACTGTCCCACGCCTTGTGACCCGAGAGCACTGAGCAGCAGAGTTGTGACCAGTTCTTGTCTCTCCCTCTCCACAAAGTCCTAACCTCCTTTAGGGAAGAGGATCAACGTTTGCTTCGGTGTCTCCAGGGTGATACCCTGCCACTGGGGGGAAGTGGAGGGGAGCAGCATTCAACCAGTCATGCAAAAATGCCCTTTCTCAGCCTTATGTATTCAAGTAGTGCCCAGTATAATAGTTTTGGGGTGCGGTGGAACCAGAAGGCTACCGCTGGGCTAGCCTCAACTCTTCTCTCTCTCTCTCTCTCTCGGCAGCGCCCCAAAGGGCAAGGGGACACAGACGTGGAAGGCACAGTGAACCCTCATGGTACTGCGCGCCTTCCACAACTCCACTGCCCCATTAAGCAGTACCCTACCGAGCAATAGCCGCTTCCTCGGGGCGCGCCCGCCCGGCACCGTCATAGCCTCTCTGCCCAGCCCTGCAGCAGAGGGAGGCAGGGAACCGACCACCCCGCCGTGCAGACCTGGGGGGAGTCCCGACGCAGGGCCTTGGGAGCACTTTGCGGCCACTGAGCGAGGGTCCGGGAGGACGCAGTTGCCACGTGCTGAGCCTTTGCGGCTTCCCTGCTCCTCGCTCAGTTTCTTCCAAACTCTCCCGAAATGCGGACCCTGGTCCTCATTTGGCACACGTGGCAACAAAGCTTCAAAACGGGTGGGGGTCCCTCGAAGGTGCAAAGAAGCCCAGGAACCTACCGGAGTTGAAGGGCGAGGTGGAAACGGGGGAAGCCAGGACTGGGGGCTGATGAACAAGATGTCTTGGTCGGACCCCGCGCTGCCTCGCCCCACTGGGCTGCCCCACCTGGGGTCCAGCCTGCTCTGGAAGGCAAGGACCAGAGGAAGGATCCCCTGCGAGAAGACCGGGACCAGCAGGGCCAGTCCCAGCGATCAAGAGGCCAGCAGCGTCTCAGCCTTTCAGTCACCGGTCACCGTGAGACCTGGCAGCTGCGCTGCGCCCGAGCGTGCGGTCCGGGTCGCAGCGCTTGGCTTGGCAGGGAAAATCCCAGGGACACATCCGAGAGCCACCCACCTCCCCGCCTTGCCCCCCCCCCCTGTGAAACCCCTGATCTTCTCGTCCAGAGTCCAGACGTGCGTCTACACAAGTCGCTTGCTGTAACTCCATGCCCGCAAGCCCCAGGGGTGCGCCAAGAGGGACCTCAGAGCAACTATTCCTGGTTCCCAAGAGGCCAAGGAGGGGACACCCTGCGTATGTCACGTTAGATGCCAGTTGTGTTCCTAGCCCTCTAGCCTTAGGATCATCCGCGCTCACAGAGGCTCAGTCAACGAAATCGTCCTTGCCCTCCCTCCTTCCGAGAATCCTGACCCGGGTTTGAATTCGCTGTGGGGTGTTGCAGCAGCGGGCCCCCAGCCCAGGGCAGGGGTCGGAAGCCCACGGGAAGGGATGGAGAAAGTTTGCGGGTCAAGGTACTGACAAACCGGTTTCTTCCAAGGCGGACTGCGCGGCCAGAGCCGAAAGAGTCCGGAAGCAGCGAATTCGGCAGCAGAGAGAACGAAATTTCGAGAAACCGGTTCTCTGAAACCGCAAAGGGAGCGCGCAGGGATTGGGAGGCGCTCTGGCTGCCGCCTGCGCTTTGCTGTGAGGTCAGGGCGGAGCGCTCCACACACCCGGTCCGCGAGCGCCCCGCTGACTGCTGAAAGGACGGAGGGGCTTTCAGGATGGAGCGGTGTCAGGCAGATGCAGCGCACCCTGGGTTCTGCTAAAGGAGCCCACTGAGCTTCGCCCCACGGGAGCCCCTTTTCCCCTCGGGAGGCGGTGGTGCGAGGGACGGACTACAGAGGTAGTTGAACTTCCGTGGTCGTGCGGGGGTAGGGGTGGGTGGGGCGGGGGAGGGGGAATCTGTGCACTCTAGGCCTACAGAGTCCCATTCAACCGGCTTACCTCCCTTGGGTACCTAGTAAGCCCTTGGTAATTAACAAATTCACGGGAGTCTCCCTGTGACTGCTTCCCGGTAATTCAATTGCTCCTTTCTCGGTATAAGGAAATTAAAGCTCCGCGTGGAAACGGCATTAATTACGAAACCCAGTTACGGAAACTCAAATTAGAGTTCACTTATTTTGTGTTCAAGATGCTCAGTTAATGGGCTTGGACGTAATGTGAGCAAGAAGGGAGATTGGAGATGTGGGGGTGGGGGTGGGAGGGTGTCTTTCCTATCCCCCCTCTGATCTTTCCTCTCCGCGTGCAAACCCTTACAAGAAGAAGTTGGAAAAATACGGAACCAGCAATTAAGTGGTTAAAAGGCCCCGCCGCCTCGGAGGTCCTGTCCCAAGCCCCTCCCCCGCGCTCCCCTCTCAGCTCCGCCAACATCTGTCCCCCAACAGCTGGCGGCCGCTGGGCCGCTCTTGGCCGCGGTGGGGGGCCGCTTCCCGGCTCCGAGCCTCCCCCGGGACCCTCGCTCTGGGGGAGGGGGTGGTTCTCCCGCTGGAGCCCGCGGACCCGGCTGGGGCTCCACTTGGAAAGCCAGAGAGGGCCGGAGGAGGAGTGGTGCCCTAAACCCACGTGACCCGGGGAGAGGCGTTGGAACTTTAGCAGCCTTGGTCTGTCGCAGTGCACTCTCTGAACCCCCACCCCCATAAACGCCAGGGGAGGTCCTTAACCCTTCACTCCCCACTCCTATAGCTAGAAGACAAGAGTGTCAGGTACCCTGGAGATCTGATCTTCGCTAAGATGCTCCTGGCCCATTGCTCTAAGGAGCCAACTAAATTGAGCAGAGAATCCCAGGACTAGCAGGGAGAGGCCTTGGCCCTTGGAGGGTTACCTTTCACAGAAGGGCCGGCCTGAGGTAACTCAGAGCAGAAGGGTACTGGGTGCCAGGAGCAGGGCACAGTGGAAACAACTCCTCCTGGCAATCCAAATGAAGTGGGGGGTGGGTACCTTGACCACCCTCCTAAACTGTAGCTAATCCTTCTCCCTGGTGAATTTAAGAGTTCCTTCCCTGCCCCTTAACTTCCTGAGGTACTAACACTAATTCAGCCTAGGGGTGGAGGGTGGGGGGGTTGGAGGAGGGTCTTCCAGATGGACAGATGGAAGTTGGCAAGGAATATACAGGTGAGGGACAGGAATGTGGTCAGAGGACCAGAGGGCCTTGCGGCCTTGACCACTCCTTCCCTCCCCACACACCCACCCTAAGGGCCTCTCTTTGGGCCAAGAGCTACATTCCCGCACCTCCAGATACTGAACTCTGGGCCTCAGAAAACACAAGCCTATCGATGTTCAGTGCATGATCCCTTCCTGAAGCCCTGCTCCCAAGAAGGGGACTCTGTCCCTATGCCACTGTTCACACTTGTTCAGGAAGAGCTTCCCCACAGCAGCCACCCAGAGCCTGGCTACCACTCAGCACGAAATAGCCCGTTGCTTGGAGCTCTACTGCCTCTTTCTTTCCTTTCTTGTGAGTTTTATTATTTTTGATAACCAACGAACGATAAATAGGTTATGCCTGCAGGGAGGCCAGGCTTGGGGAGAAATGGTCTCTCCTCAGAAGAGCTACTACCATTCTACCCTCTACTCAGGGAATTGGAGCTCAAAGTCTCTTTTTTAAAACCAAAAATTGGGTCCCCCCCTTTTTTTTGGGTGGGGAGGAGACTTTTGTCACTGAACTTGCAGTGCCCAGAACCTGCAGCCCAGGAATGAATGACTCAGCCCATCCCTCCAAGCAAACCCTGCTTCTCCAGCTGCCCAGAGGCAAATCACAAATCAGTAACAGGGCAGTGTGGTAGTGCTGGGCTGCCTAACCTGTCAATGTAACAACTCAAGCACCCACACCACCTGGCAGGGGAGGGGGGCATCACCAAATCACCATACCTCTTCATTTGTTCATCTCCCCCTGGCAGCACAGAGATGACACTGGAAGAGGGAAAGAGGGGGCAGAGACACACAGTGACTTGCCCAAGGTCACTCAGTGATCCAGGCTTGGCCTGACACAACCCAGGCTCTCCCCAGCTGTTGACCCTACCCTCAGCCCTGCTGGCAGAGACCATGGAGGCACTGAATGTCAGCATTCGGTCTCCTCCAGCACAGCCTGCATGGGGGTTCAGTCCAGCCTGGGCACAAGCTGGGGCTGGAGAAGCAGTGCAAAACTGCTGGCAAGTGGTTGCCAAAGTCACCAGGCCCACTGTGACCGAAAGTGCTAGGAGAAGTCCACATGGTGAGGCTCAGCTACCTTCCTCCTAGGTTTCCCAATCTGGAACCCAGTCCAATGCTAGCAGATGTGTTTGAGGAGCCCAAAACAGCAGCTAGCTTTTTTACTTTTCTTCCCACGCCCCCACCCCCCACCAAAAGACTAAAGCGGGAAGGTAGAACCTGGCAAAACATAACTTTAACCCCTCTTTTCGGCCCTAACCAAACCATCAGTCAAGGTACAGGAGTGGGGGAAGACACCACACTCTGGTGACGTATCCCACAAATCTGTAGGCATATGCCCTTCACAAGGAGCATCTCCCTCTGACTCCACATTCCCAAGTCTCTGGATAGACTCAGCCCGTACCTGGGTCCCTCGATGGTGGAAGGCTTTAAGCAGAATTGCCAACCTCGGAGGAGAGGGTGGGGATGGGGTTTCAGAATCTCTCATCCTACGTAACCCTTTCTGGAGGTCCTTGCACAAGCGCACAGAGATATACAAGGCCCCAAACATGTACCTCTAGACCCATTCTCTCCATTCACACATGACCTGAAAGACTAATTGCTCATCAAGGAAGGAACATGCACAGTATCTGAACACCCCCAGGACAGCTCAGTGACACATTAGCCCAGTCTAACTGCACAGATTCCAGAAAATATGACACACGTACACACGGGGCATCCCGGGGTCTCATGCCCTAGGCCACCTAACAGAGCTCCATCCCTGCTCCCCAAGCTGCACACTCTCACACCCACCATACACAGGAAGTATCCCTCTCACCACCCTGCCAGAGCTTCCCCACACTCCAGGTTCTCTCTTTCCAGAACACTGGAGGCTCAAGACTAGGAGGTGGGAAGATGGGCTTTGCCTAAGGGAGGTCTCCTCAGGAAGAATGAGGCCTGACCTCTCTAGAGGTAAGCATGAGAAGATGTGTGTGTGTGTGTGTGTGTGTGTGGGTGGGTGGGGTGAAGGGTAGTGAAAGAGCTTTCTCTCTTCCAGCCAGTGAAAGCACTTGTGAACCGCACCCTTCGCAACAACCCCTGTCCCAGACTCCTGGGGCTTCATTGACCCCACTGATGCCACAGACTGACATCAGACCTGTTCCATCTTTCCACTGAGATGAGGACAGTCTCAGCATCCTTGACCTTGCAGTGACCTCGACCCCTTGACCAAGGGTCAGAGAACCCCCCACCCCCACCTCACCCCTAGAAGCTTGAGGAGACTAGGAGCTGGCCCTAGCCAGTGCCAGCTACTGGTTGCCCTGCAGGAGGCCGAGCTGGGGGACTTGGCATGGTGTGGGGGCTCCCAGAAAGATGGCCCAGTATAATCCTCCTTCAGATTCCCGCAGCCCCAAGCCGGAACCAGAGTCAGGATCCGGGAGAAACGGAAGGCTGACAGGAAAACCACGAGAGAGCTGGGCCTGGAATGAGCTCCTGGGACTAGGGCCAGACCCGAGACAGAAACTGCGACTTGGGACCAAACTGCGACTTGGGACCGACTGACACTAGGGTCAGCGTTGAGGCAGAACCTGAGGTCAAGGGCCCGGGCTTTACACAAGGAGTTTGAATACTGGATCAGACCCGAGACAGATGGGGGACTGGTGCTAGAGGCCAGAGGGGACCCGACCCCAAAGCGGAGCAAGAGGCAGAGCTAGAGTGGAGTCTAGTTCAGGGTCGGCTCGGACCCGGGGAAGGTCGTGCATGTTTGGAGGAGTGTTTGAACATGAACCCAGGGGCGTCGCCTCTGGGATCTGGTGCCGGCCTGAGCCAGTGCTGGGGACATCGGAGCTCGACCGAGAGGCCGGACTGGATCCTGAAACTTAGGGAGGGCCCGTGGCGGAGCCGGAGACACAACCGAAACCCGTCGGACCAGAGGCGGGCCGCGGGCCGAGACCTGTGACCGTACCGCCGCGCGACCTGGAGCTCAGGGTTTCCGGGCGCTGTGCGTGGGGGCTGGGCGCGCGCTCTCTGAGACCTCGGGTCGCCGGAGTTGGGCCGGAGCTGCGCGCCCGGGGGCCGCCTGCGCGGTACTGCGGGCCCAGCGCCGCAGCCTACCTGAAGTAGTCCATCTTGCAGAAGATTTCCTTGTTCTTAATGTAGCAGCTGTTCTGTTGCCGCAGCGACGTGCGACACACAGAGCACTCGAGGCAGCGCACGTGCCAGATGAGGTTGTTGACCTGGGGAGCGGAAGAGGAAGGGGAGCGGCTCGGCGCGGGCCTCTTTCTCAGGGGTCCCCAGCCTCCTGCACCCCATTTGCAGATCAGGACGCTGGACCTCGCCAGGTGCGGGCGACGGGAGTTTCCTTCGCCAATACGGTGGCTTAGGAAGGTAGAACGAAATTCTTTCCATTTTACAGACGGACACTCGAGGGTTCGCAGAGAACTACCACTTGCCCAAGGCGGGTCCAACCTGGGAGCGGCGGAGCCGGGATTCGGAACGAAGATGGGAAGGCTTCCCTACAGTCCTCCGGGCTGCCCCCTCTTCCCCAACACTCACACGCACGCGCGCGCGCGCGCACACACACACACTCATACACATCACACCACACACACCCCACACGCCCGGCCTCACCTTGAGCAGATACCGGTCTAGGATTTCGAGGCCGCAGCTGGAACAGATGTTCTTGCCCGCAGACGGCACGGAGGAGGCCGCCGAGGGCGGCGAGCAGACGGACGGCGTGCTGGGAGTACAGGGGGAGGCCCGACCCTCGTCCTTGTCCAGAGCCCCCGCCAGAGCCTCGGCGTCCGCCTGGGCCTGCGGGGGACCCACAGGGGGGAGAGCGCGGCGCTGAACCCAGCGCCCCGAGGTGCGGCCGCCCCAGAGACACGTCGGGGTGGTAGGGCGCCAACCGACAACGAAATCCCCCCGGGACTTCGTGCCCGGGGCTGGAGGACAGGGCTGGAAGGGCCCATCGGAGAGAAAGAGGCGACCTCCACTTTTCAAGGACGCCTCTTGGGTGCCGGGAGCAGTCCAAGCCCCCCATTCGGGGGGCGGACAACGCAGAGGGGCGGCGCCCGCGGGGTGTCGCGCAGCGCGTGGGCAGCTGTTCCGGGCCAGGTCCCCAGCGCCGGGCCACGGGGGACCAGGGGGCGGGGGCAAGAGGGGCCGGGAGGCAGTACCGTATGGACTCACCATGATGGGCGGCGCGGTCCCTTCCAGGCAGCGGGTGTTCGCTTTGCAGCCGGCCCCAGGCTGGGCTATCACCTGGGGGAGGGGGGGAGAGGAAGCGAACGCAGGCGGCGGCGGCAGCGGCGGCGGCGGCGGAGCTGGCTCGGCTCAGCCTGAGCCCAGCGCCTCCCCGCGCCTGTTATATAAACCGGCGCGGAACAATGAGTCCTAACTTTGTAGTGGGCATTTAAAGCCCTTCCCCACAAAAGCGGTGTCTCTCTAATGAAGCAATTTGAATTTGGATTGGGTTTTTTTCCCTCGCTCTCCCCCTCTCCCTGCACTTAACCCGTGGCTCTTGAAGTAATCGCTTAGTTCCCTTGCAATCCAAGCCTCTGAGGGGGGGAAAAAAACACGCGCACACACACAAACTACCTGCAATTAGAAATTGTCGTGAATGCCCAAGATAAGAGGTAGCCAGAGTGTCAATTCCAACTGTCAATCAGGGAGATCCATCAGGCCGCCCAAAGAATTGCAAATTTGATTTTTTAATGGTAGTAATTAAAAATCGAATTTTTCTCTCTCCACCCCCCCACCCCACTTTCCTCGCTCCCTTCTCCTCCTCTCGGCACAAAATGCAATAAGGAGAAAAGAGGGAAAGAAAGAAAAGAAAAAGAAGATGGGGGTGAGGAAAATAAAACCCGGAGCGCCTGGAGCCTCAGCCAGCCCGCGCCGCGCGGGCCGCAAAATTGACGCGGCGATGTGGACCGAGGTTCGGGCGCCTGGGGAGGCCCGTCGGAGGGGAACCCCCAACAAAATTGGGGCGAGTGTAGGGGCGACGCGGGGCCGAAAGGAGCAAAGCGAGGCGTCGGGGAAGAGGAAAAGGCACCCAGCAGCCCCTCGGCGCGCCCGGGACCAGCCCCGCGTCGGGATTCGCAGCGTTGCGCCCGCACAACCCCTGGCGCCTCGGCGCTATCAACGCCTATTCACACGGACAATACCGGCCTCGCCTCCTCTTGATTCGCCTGTGTCTCTGCGAAATCGCTTTTTGAGAAATTCCTCCAGCATTTGCATAATGTGTCCCCGCTTTCCGCGCCACCCTCCACCCCCTGCTCGTGCGCGCTCCCACAAGCACAGGCACACTCACTCTTGGGCGCACCCTCGCACCCTCCTCCTGCCCACCTGGGCCGGGGCAGCTCGCCCGCCCGCTCACCTGGTCGGCGGTGCTGCCGGCCGGCAGTCGGCAGCCCTCGGGCAGCGCCGGGGCGGCGTTCTCATGCTTCCAATACATGGGCCGGGGAGCGGCGGGCGCAGCAGGAGCGCAGCGGGTGGAGCCGCGCCGAGGTGGGCCACGGCCACGGCCACCGCCACGGCCGCAGCAGGAGCCGGAGTCAGAGCCGGAGCCCGAGCAGGAGCTGGAGGAGAGCGGAGGCGCCCGGCCCGCTGCTCTGGGCCGGGCCCCAGCTGCTTTTCCCGGCCCGCGCCCAGCCCCGGCCGCTGCCGCCTCCAAAGAAGGTCCCGACAAACTTAGAGAGGCCTGGGTCCCCTCCTCCTTCTCCTCCTCCCCCTCCTCGTAGTCCTCCTCCTCCTCCTCTCCCTCCTCCTGGTCCTCCTCCCCCTCCAGCTGCGGTGGCGGCCGCCCTGCCGCTGGAGCCCCGCTCGGTTCAAGATGAGTCATGCGTGACCAATCCCCTCCCAGCCAAG